TTTTTTCAAATGCTTTGATATTTAGTAGCACATGCATACGAAATTTTTGAATAAAGTAAAAATATTTGACGAGAAAACATTAATAAATCTATTTATAAAATTTATTCTCTTTGATAATATGTGAATACAAATACGTATAACGTATAAATAATTATTTAAATTTATTATGTAAATGCACATGATTAAATACCGATCGAATAAATGACAAAGCCCTCGTGGTCCTATAATAAGTGTTACATTTAGCTAAACACGTTATATGCCAATTGCAATGTCGTTGGTGTCTACCAAACATCTCATAAATTCGGTATCATCATCATGTAGTAAGTGACAAACAACTCATGAACCACATTAATGCATCATATTAATACCAATCTATGGTAATTGGTAGTAGTTTTTTTTAACTTTGTAATTGATTATTTTTACTCAATTTATTTTATTAAAAATAGTAACACAACATAAAATATCATTAGGGTAAATAATATCACCATATTATATACTAACATAGATAATTCGTAAGTATAGAAATAAATTATTTTAAAATCAATGTAAACTATAAAATCATAAGATCATTGTGTATTAATTATTGTCAAATCTTATGTTAATTATTAATTTAATGTAGCATGATTCAAATTAACAAATGCAACTTTGACGTTTAACATAGGATACGTAATAGAATATTTTTTTTTAAAAAACTATTCTATTCTCGAAAATTAGAACCGTAAAATTAATACTGTAATAAACAATTTTTCATGACTTACCATACCAAGATATTATATAGAGCAGACCAACCATTAGGTTGAATATCAATGAAATTAATACTTAGCATAATAAATAAATAAAACCCTAGATAGGAGCTTCAGCCATCCACAGCTAAATAATTGCTTTTAATTAATAAGTTAGATGTGTGGTATAAATGTTTTTTATTTTAGTTTTTCATATTTTCCCTTATAAATAAATAAAAAAGGTGAAATTTTGGAAAAAAAAAATAAAAAGTGGGGAAATGTTACAGTCCCGTTACGGAACCGTTCCGTCGAGATTTGTTAGATTATCATGTAACCGTCATGGATAGTTGATCTAACGATGACAAACTCCGATAAAATAATTTCGTAAGTGAACCGTGACATCTTCCTAAAAAGTGTCCACCCCTTTCTGACAAGGGACGACTCTAGAAGAAGTTGGGAATTAAATAAATAAGGGAGAGAATACAATATAATATATATTTATGGGAAATGCTATGGTCTCATTACGGTATCATCCCTTCACGTGTTTTAACCGTTGGATGCACATGTAGTTAATATAAGATAGATGATCCAACGATTAAAACACCCGACGTACGGGATGGTATTGTAACGGGACCGCAGCATTTTCCTATATTTATTAGTATTTAATTTCTTCACTAGGTACAGTATGGTTACTCTAACTAGAATTTATCATATGATATTTTCATTCCAAAATAAATATACATTAATAGTAATTTAAAAAACATAATTTTGGGGCCAACTTTATGGATATCTTAATTTCTGTTTTCAAATTTTAAAAAATTCACACGAATTCTCATATAACACCTTAACGATCAGACGTGTCGATCCATCAAATTTTTATTTATGATGTTTATATTAAAGTATATATATCACTTGTGCAAAAAGTATATGTATATTTATTAAAAGAATACATATTTATAACGATTAATATGACCAGCAGCAGCTATCCTATATTTAATTAATTAGTTTAATTATTTTTCCTTATTAACTTGTTGTTAATCATGTTTAACTAGTATTCATCCTGTGCACATGCACAAAAAAAAGTAAAAATGATATATTATATGTATGCATACAATATATAAAATTTTATATTAGATAATTGATGTATTACATTTTAAATTTTGACTATATGAAAATATTAATGTAAATATAAATTACTTAACTTACGTATGAATATTTATATCGATGCCATAAATTTTAATGGACAATATAATTTAGTAGTCTAGAGGGATCATACATTTAATTAGTTAGAAAAGTATTACAAATATTTTTATCATTGTTATAACAATTGTCTAAATGATTTTAAGGTGTTTAATTATGACACTCGTGCCAATTAATTAATATTAGGTAAAAGACAATAATAATTTTATTTTATAAATATCTTAAATAAAAAAGTTGCAATACAATTTTTTAAAAGTATGTAACTTCCATATCTATTTAATGTAAAATTATAATCAGTTAGTGTTAATAGTAATATTATATAATATTACTATTAATTTTATTTAATGTAACGTTTCTACATTAATTGAAAAAATGAGCGGGAAATTTATGAAGGTTTTATTAAATATTTTATTAAATGCATCTGCCAGCAATTATATATATATAGATAAGGAAAATGTTATTGTCCCGTTACGGAATCATTCTGTCGGGGTCTGTAACCGTTAGATCAACTATCTTCGACGATTACATAATGATCTAACTGTTATAAACTCCTACGGAATGGTTCCGGGACCGTAGCATCTCCCGAACCTAAACCTGTTAATTAGGGAACAAATACTACGACATCTTTTAAATTACGCCGGATTTGGCATGCAAGCACGTGCGTGAGAGAGAGGGGGAGATGTACGTACCTGCCAAAGAATCAAGAAAAGTGGACTTGCCGGACCCAGACGGACCCATAACGGCCATGATCCGACCCGGAAGTGCATAACCCGTCAGCCCATTTATCAGCCTCTTCGTCGGCCCATTCCCAAAATTCGGCAGTACCGCCGTCAAGTCCTCCCATGTTAAGTACACGCCGCCGCCCTCCGCCCCTCCATTGCCGACGCCCATCTCGACGTCGTGCGTCGTCGTACTCCGATGAAGCTGAGGAGCCGCTGTCTCGATCTCCATTTTTCTATACTTCACATATAATAACTTTTGAGTGAAAGATTTTTATTTTTTTAAAGAAAATTGGAATTTGCTGATGAATGGTGGTGTTAGCAGATATACTTGAATGCGGGCATGAATAGAGTAGCAGGGTGGAGGTTGAGAGAAAGTGATGCATTTATACTTACTTCATTTGGGCCAAAAATATCTTCTTGGTAACTTTTAATTTGGGAGCTTTTTGTATGTAATTGGACAATAATTCATTCATAATATATTTTATTTTAGGGACAATACAACATAATTTAAGCAATATTCATTAATTGTTTAATCTCATTAGCCTTTCACTTAAAATATATTTTATTTCAAAAATTAACAAAATAAAAATTATTTATTTTACTAAATAAAGAATACAATGTTATACTCTCTACATAAGGGGAACTAAAGAAACCGTCCCTATGTTAATTAGCCATTTATCCAAAGCAAAAATAAAATATGGCCATGTTAGGAAAAAGATGATATTATTATTATTTTTATTATTATTTTTAAAGAAGTGATTCTAACTTGGCATATTCCAGCGATTTTGAAAATTCCAATCTATTCCGATCAGATATTTCGACCACTAGTTTGGCCTAAATTTATGACTTTTCAGGCCAAGATCTCAGACAATTTTTTTGAGTTCTAGAAATCATTTCTGCAACGCTAGAAATTTTTTCGTGTGGCTGCGAGATAGTTTCGTGAATACTAAAAATTATTTCTCGAATATAGATAGTTGGGCAAAAATCGACACATGAGGCGATACCACGCTCGAGCGGGACTCTCTCTAATATCCCCTCCAGGGGCTGGCATGACGAGATCGTTAATCGGAGTTCTTGGTGACTTCTCATGGGTAAGCCATCCCGAGGGTGGTATCGCCCCTGTAGGTCGAGTATGTAGCCAAGTGTCTTCGTCACGTCCTTCTCTGCTATCCCCCTCTTTATTCGCTATATATCGATGTTGTCAGTTTATTTTATTTTATTCACACAAGTACATTGAAAATACTGTTATCTCAACCTTGGTCGAGCTGGTTCTCACATATGGTATGTTGAGTAGATTTTTGGGTATTGGTAACCGAGTTACCCGGCCTCGGGTCGTTCTCAAAGGAAGGCTATTCGGAGCTTCGGTTACTACCTAGTCGTCAAAGTCACACAAACGAAAATATCCTATACATGCTAATCGCTTGAATTGAGGGTTGACTTAAGCTAAGCTAATCTACAAAATTAAAATCGAAAGCAAGTAAAGCACGCAAGAAGATTAGAGAGATCAAGGGGGAAAAAAGGATTTTGGTTCACCGGAGTCATCATGATCAAAAGCACGCAAAAATCCAACCATTGCCATGTTCGCTAAAAAACCTAGGAAGTCAAATCAAACTCTAGCATGAATCGAGCA